TCATCGCTGGGGATATTACAGTCAATTTTGATATGAACAGCCTAACTGCAATGGGAACACATTACATTCGGAAGCCTGGAATGCAGATGCATGATTATGTCTATTATAAACATAAATTTCCATCACATTACTCAACCGAATGTTCCCTGTCATGTGCACAGCACTGCCATACCTCCCTACGCTTCTTTGTAGATTTGTTGCTTCATATACTTCATCCCAGAAGCAAAATGTCGTTGGTAAATCCCAAGTTTGATGGAATGGGAACATAATTCCACCCCAACATGATTTCTATGCTTCAGTGACCTCCTACAATAGCCGTCCACCTGAGATATGACTTTTACTATATTACATTCGGCAACTGTGACTCTTAATAAGAATATGGATTATTGCATGAATCTGATTTATAGTCACCTGATTATATATTGGCTGACCGCATCATGTAATGTCCACTTCACTAACGTCAGATTTCTGCTGTTTAAACCCTTCTATTTGCAGTTTAAGCAAATTATTATTGATTCAGAATGTGAGAACTGAGGCTCATCTCATTAAAAAGGCAGCAAACACGTTCTTCAGCATGTCTTCAGACTGAGGGGATACCCCCCCACCACCCCCGCTCCTTACCTCGCACCAGACCCCGCATCAGCTAAGGATGGCCCTGATCTCAGCAGTAGATTCTTGTTGTGATCAGCATTTTAAGGCTGTTTTAAGACATCAAATATTACATTGATCTCCTTTAAGTGAAATCTTTAGAGTTGTATTATATAGTTTTCTCACCAGGAAGAGAAAACTGTGACCGAGATCATCGCAGATGTACTTATAGCCAAATGGGGTTAGTGTCACTTGCTGATATTGGTTTAATCAATGGCATATATTAAGGTTTGTGATAGAGAATGATGATTCAGGGCAGACTGGAGTTTTTAGCATGAGGAGAGGGCGGCTCATTTTGACCCCGTCAGCTAATGATGGATGAGGGAGTGCTGCGATTTCATTGGCCGAGCTCTGAGGAGTTAAACGATCATCAACATTCCGGGGGAAAAAAAAAAAAAAGCCTGGTCTCTCATACTTCTTGGATTGAGGGAGATATTTTGTTGCAGAGATGACACAATTACTCAAAGAGTTTGAACATGATTGTGTTGGAATCTTAATAATGTTCCTAACTCAAGTGTGCTGAATCTCATTAATTGGTTAATTTATTTGAATACATACTGTGGCATTTAGATTAATATTTACATTAACATATTACATTAATAGCAGATCTGTTAACAGATTTGATTATAGATTCTGAGTTTATATCTTACAAGAAAGAGGTCTGAGTTGTGAGATATACTGTAGACAGATATACACTGCTAGATAGAATTGCAGAGGAAGTAAAAACTCAAAATTCTGCGAAAAAAGTCAGAATTGTGACATGTTAATTCCTAATTGCAAGATATAAACAAGATATAAACTCGCAATTCTGAGAAAAATAGTTTGATTTGAAAGATGTCAACTCACAATTGCAAGAAAAAAGTTAGAATAGTGAGATAAAAAGTTCTATGGCTGAATCGGTCATTCTTCCTAGTGTTAGGCAAACATATGTTCTATTACATTTTGAGAAAAAATATTGTGTACATTAAGTGTTCAATTAAATTCTGACTTTGTTAAAATTAATCTAATCTGTTATAATTAAACAATTGTTCATATTGTGAATTTACCCCATTCAAGACAGCAACATCCTTTTGCCAGAATGCCACTGTAAATATGTTTTTTTCTTAAAAGATTTAAGATAATAACAAATTGATTGATTTAGGTATTGATTTGTTTATTTGTTTACAGTATATAGGCCTATAAACAGTTCAAATTTACAATAAACATGCTAAGAACCTGGATGAAAACATGAATGGAGAACATCCAAACTTGAAGACCTGAAAAGTGTGGATATTTCAAGCAAATGTAATGAATAGATTTGTTGCACATTAGCGCCCCAGGAGCTTGGGTTTACAGAGTCAAAAATGATGAGTGTGTGAAATAGCGGGATGGGTGTTAATGTGGTGATCTTTCACTCCATCGATCCTGCCTGGATCCCATATCCTGAAGTTCTGATGTGGGCTTTTCAAGTCTCTAAAGCTAAGGGCTCAGTTTCTGTCGACAAACGCCATTGAAGTATGGAAAGGAATCCCTTAGCATCAGAAACAAGCATGGATTATTGGGTCAGTGTGGGCAGTGAGCAAAAGGACACATTCTCATTTTTCATTTTTCGATTTTGAGCACATCAGTCACCCTTATATTGAACATTTTATTTGAAACACTTTTGGTTCTAAACCATAGTAAAGCAACAGCTTAGAGCACTAAAAGTCGAAGGCCAAGATTTTTGAGGTGAATTCTGCAGCATGCTTCATAATATAGCCATTCTCACCAATTGCCAAAAAATTTTAGTAAATAAAGCACACTAGTTATCATACCAGTTATCTGGTCAATTTTTTGTTTTTATATTTTCATTTAGGTTTATCTTTTAGTAATGTTACTGTACGTGTTATGGTATGCTTTTGTCATTTTTATTGTTTTTCAATATTTTCAATATTTCTATTTAGCTTTCGTTCACTTTAATTCAGTTTGAGTAATTTTACTGTATGTGTTATGGTATGCTTTTGTCATTTTGACTGTTTTTCAATATTTTCAATATTTCTATTTAGCTAATTAAATTTTTTTGTAATTTTAGTACTTTTTAGTTATTCCAGAGGGCTTAAGACATGCAAACCATCGGCTCACTTCTAACTTTGGAAGCCTGTTAAATCTCAGAGACTAAAAAATTAAAAAGTAATTGTGACATTATTTCTCATGCTGTGACTACGTATCTCCCACGCACAACTTTATATCTCAAAATCATCATTATTTCTTGTAAATTTGACTTTCTGTCTCTCAACTGAAACTTTATATCTTCCAGTAGTGTGTGTGTGTATTTATAGGGAATAGTTTTATAATTGCAATGTTACATATTATTGTAACTGTATATTAAAAAAGAGTAATGTTTATTTTACTCTAGTTTTCTCTTATTTACTTTTTTTTTTTACCCTGAAGCAAAAACAGGCTTCCATATCTAACAGCTTTTATCTAAGTGGAAAGTTACCATCATACATTTTTCTAGGATGCCTTTTTTGAAGCAGACGAAAGAGGTTGGGTGTCAGTACTTTATCCGCACCTTTAATCTTAATACATGCCATATGTGTTCTGTGTATTAAGCCCTGGTGAAAAGTGAAAGTGGGACACTCTTTGCGAATTAAGGTGCTTTGTAGCCTTAATCTCCACATTTAAGCAATGTAGCTGAGAGAGAAAAAAAAGACAAGTAGAAGGAAAGGGTAGAAAAAAAAGATCAACGTCTTACATTAGCCTCTCTAGTGCACTTTCTCAGAAACAAATTAACCCCAGCACAGAGGAGACCCCTATTTGAGAGAAACATGGTACCGGACAGGGCATTGTTCTCCTCACCAGCTGCTTTTCTCACCCACAGATATGTGACATATTCAATAAGGAAATCTATTCTCTATTTGTCCAGCAGATGTCTAAATCTTCGCTCTGTATACACCATGGCACCGCCATGTCCTCTGGGACTACCTAACTTTGACAGTGAATGAATTTAGCGGGGAAGGGTGTAATTTGTCCACAGCAATAATATGGAGTGGTCTGCTCTGCAGGCGGCGGGCCGTAATATGGCTTGCTGTAATGTAGAGAAACAGTCACCCTCCGGGGTTCAATAACTGCTTATTACTCCTGCCTCCACTTCAGCAGCATCACCATCAGCCCAGTGGCCTCCCACATTATAACTCTGGCACAAATGCTTCTACTGCGCTATCGACTGGAGTTTCTGTTATTCGCTAAGCCTGTTGAGCAAAATACCCTGCTTGTTGTCATGGTTCCACAGGTCCATGATCTAATAGATGATGTTAGGGAATTGTCCTCGCTAGCTCTCATTTGTCTTCATATAGAGGCAAGAGCCGAGCTGGTCAGCTTTAAATGAGCCAAGGTTAAAATGACATCTTGATGAAACCAGCTTCAGAACTTCTTTATGTTTGTGTGTGTGTGTGTGTGTGTACTGGTATATACGGTTTATGAGAAGGACACAAATGTGTATAATGACATGGGTACTACAACGTAAAGGTTTAAAGGTTTATATATACAATCTCAGTAGTGCAGTGGTGTTCTGAAATGAGGAGGCTTTTTTTTATTATCAAATTTATGTCCCAGTCACATTTTATTGGTTATATAAACATTACTTGTACTATCAGAAAAATAATTAGCGAGAGAGAGAGAGAGAAAAAACAATTAAATTATATTATATATTTTTAAATTGTTATCAATATACTATTTATTAAAGCCAAGTATGAATCTCATCAAGTTAGTGTTTTTAAGCATTTTACATGTATTCCAAAATCATAACTCAAGGCAGTAACAATTTAAACAATAGATTTTATTTGTGAATTTATATTCTTTTTAATAGTTAACGTTTAACTATTTTTGAATTTTTTGGGTCATCTGTCATCAAAGCTCGGTAAATATTGGTCACAGACACGGTATTAACTTTAAATTTCACCAAGCTGATTACTCACTAAAACTCCCACAGATCATGTTTTCAGGCCATTCCAAGTCTTATTTTGACAGGATTTATTGCATGAACCAATCACAGCTGAACATAACCAGTCATATCCAATCATATCGCAATGTAGGCATTGCCCCCTCTCACATGACTTTTCCCATTCATTCTCAGTTACCCCCCCACCAAACCCACAACACGCTTTAGGGGTTTTGTTAAAACTCAATTGGCTTAGGGGAGGCAAGGCAGATGCCGACTCCCGATGTGACAGTGTTTCTTTAGAAAAACAAGTGATTTATACCTTTTTAATGTCATATTTTGTAATATTTAAATAGTCTTGTGGATTTACAGTATTTCCACTCAATGAACCTCTGGTGCAAAACAGCCTGATCATAGTCTGATCAATCTCTCTGTCTCTTGTTCTCCTCTATAGTGTGTCCTGGCACTGATAACAAGCTCAGCACGCTGTCGGATTTGGACCAGCAGTACAAAACTCTTCGCAAGTTCTATGAGAACTGTGAGGTGGTCATGGGTAATCTGGAGATCACCAGTATTGAAAGAAACCGCAATCTGTCTTTCCTCAAGGTGAGTACACAGATAGATAAACAGTCAGACAGACAGAGATAGATTAATTGTTTGCTTGATTCTACTTTTGGACAGATGTTAGGAATTCAGCTTGGCACCTTTTATTAAAATAACACAAATGAGCAAACTATTATTATGCATGACTAACAGAATAATATGTAAATATATAAATAGCAGAAGACTATTTGCTCCCAATATGAACACTCCAGTGACATGACATTAGAGAGCAAGTCATCATGTTTTTTTGGATTTCAAAGGCAGTTGGACCTTTTAGTAGTCTTTTGTACGGGTGCTGCAATTACTGGTAACACTGATGGTTAAATAGCTCTTTTACATTTGCATTAATGGATGTTACTCTGGTTCCACGCTTGGTATAACTGCAGAAATAGAGCAAAAAGGCTTTCTGAGGCTGCCTTGTTTTCATACTAAAACCAGGTGTATTACTTATTCACAAAGAATTCACATGGGTTCTGAGTCTTAATAAATTAATGGTTTTTCATAGAAGTCGCCTCATAACGGTTCTAATGTATCAGGATGAAAATGTGGGAACAGGTCACATGGTATGGCGCAAATGAAAACAAAGTGTGTAGTTTGAGGGAGGTCCCATGGTGACCATCCATGAGTGTCTTCCATGAGGAGGTACTGGAGATGAAACAATTATTAACACATTGAAATTTCAGAATTTACTTTTTGTTTCTATTATCTATCTATCTATCTATCTATCTATCTATCTATCTATCTATCTATCTATCTATCTATCTATCTATCTATCTATCTATCTATCTATCTATCTATCTATCTATCGATCTATCGATCTATCTATCGATCTATCTATCATCACACAAATTATATGATAGTGATTGGCCCATCCTACCCAGCGCTAAGTAAAGTAACAGGTCCCATGTGACAATTCGGTTCATTCACAGTCTTCATTGTCGATAACATACAGTATCATGTCAATAACATTCTCAATAATGGACAATATTTTACAGCCGAATAATGACACTGAGAACCATTAATAGCCTTAAAAATGACAGTGATGAGCTAAAGTAAAGCAATAAGCCACACAAGGACTATTTTTTATATTTATTATATATCGGAAACAGCAATATGATAAAAGACACACATGTTCAGTAAATAGTTTATAACTATTTATAGTTTAGTTAACTATTATGTTATATTTATTTATAATTATCAGGAAGGCTATTCCAGAGTTTGGGAGCCAAATGCGAAAAAGCTCTACCTCCTTTAGTGGACTTTGCTATCCTAGGTACTATCAAAAGTCCAGAGTTTTGCGACCTTAGGGAGCGTGATGGATTGTAGCGTGGTAGAAGACTAGTTAGGTACTCAGGAGCTAAACCATTAAGGGCCTTATAGGTAAGTAATAATATTTTGTAATTGATACAGAACTTAATAGGTAGCCAATGCAGAGACTGTACAATTGGGGTAATATGATCATATTGTCTTGACCTGGTAAGGACTCTTGCCGCTGCATTTTGGACTACCTGTAGCTTGTTTATTGAAGATGCAGGACAACCACCTAGCAGTGCATTACAATAGTCCACTCTAGAGGTCAAGAATGCACGAACTAGCTTTTCTGCATTAGAAACAGGTAACATGTTTCATAACTTGGCAATTTTTCTAAAATGGAAGAATGCTGTTTTGTAACATGGGAAATTAGATTTTTAAAGACAAGTTTCTGTCTAATAACACCCAGATTTTACTGTAGTGGAAGTAACAGTGCATTCGTCTAGTTGCAAATTGTAATCCAAGAGATTCTGTGTACTATCTTTTGGTCCAATAAGTAATATCTCTGTCTTATCCGCATTTAATAGGAGAAAATTATTGGTCATCCAATCTTATACATTTTTAACACACTCTGTTAGCTTAGATAATTTAGAAGTTTAATCTGGTCTTGTTGAGATATATAGTTGAGTATCATTAGCATAACAAGGGAAACTAATCACGCATTTTCTAATAATATTACCAAGGGGCAACATGTATATTGAAAATAGCAGAGGACCTAGGACAGATCCTTGTGGCACTCCATACTTTACTGGTGATAATTGAGATGACTCCCCGTTTAAATAAATAAAGTGGTAGCGATCGGACAGATAGGTCCTAAACCATCTTAAAGACTGCCCTTGAATACCCATATAGTTTTGTAATCGTTCTATGAGTATGTCATGATCTGTAGTGTCGAACTCAGCACTAAGATCAAGTAAAACTAGCAATGAGATGCAGCCTTGGTCTGACGCAAGAAGCAAGTCATTTGTAATCTTAACAAGTGCAGTTTCTGTGTTATGGTGGGGCCTGAAACCTGACTGAAATTCATCATTGAGATTTTTTTGCAAGAAGGAGCACAATTGAGTAGACACAAATTTTTCTAAAATTTTTGACATAATCAGAATATTTGAAATGGGTCTGTAATTTGCCAGTTTACTATGATCTAGTTGTGGTTTCTTAATAAGAGGCTTAATAACCACCAGCTTGATCACCAGCTTGGTTTTGGGATGTGACCTAAAGATAACGACGAGTTATAAAGAAATATTGAGAAGTGGTTCTTCTGCTACAAGAAACAACTCTTTCAGTAATTTAGTGGGTACAGGATATAATAAACATGTTGTTGGTTTAGATGCAGTAATAAGCTTATTTAGCTCTTCCTGTCCTATATTTGTGTGTGGTGTCTGGTGCCACTGTGCTAAATAAAAACCTTGGATTGTTTTGGTTATTTTCTATGAGTTTGTGGATATGCTCGGTCGAAATATAATCATTTGGTTTTAGCCAGGTTTCAGTCAAACAGAGTACATCAAAACTATTATCTGTGATCATTTCTTTGTTCCTGTGGCTCAGTGGTAGAGCATTGCGTTAGCAGCGCAAAAGGTCGTGGATTCGATTCCCAGGGAACACACATACTAGTAAAAAATGTATAGCCTGAATGCACTGTAAATCGCTTTGGATTAAAGCGTCTGCTAAATGCATAAATTATTAATGATTATAATTATTATGATTTCATTTACAATAACAGCTTTGGGTGCGAGTGATCTAATGTTTTTAAAGCCCAAACTTTAAAAATTGTTTTTGTTCATTTATTTTGCATTTTTCTGGTTTAATCACAATCAGATTTTTTCTAGATCCTGCATTAAATTTATATTTTGACCTCACTATTCGGGGAACAGACACAGTCTTTATAGATTGGACAATGCAAGTACTTCTACCATTTAAGTGAGTACAACAAAATCCATCATAGCAGTTATTTGAGAATTGGCTTACTAGTAATATGGTGCGTAGCGTCCTGGAGATGTTGTCCGACAGGAGTTCCGCTCCGACTCTGCTGGGGTGCAGGCCATCAGCGCAAAAAAGCCTAGGACGCTCCCAGAAAAGATTCCAATTATTAACAAAGAGCAGTTTCTCTTGTTTACACCATGAAAATAAACATTCGTTTAAAGCAAACATTCTACTGAACCTTTCGTGTCCTCGTCGATACGTGGGAAGCGGTCCTGACACGATGATCATCGTTGCAGGCGATGTGCTGCGTACCATCTTGATCAGGCTCCTGAAGACCCTCTTCAGTGTCTCTGTCTGCCGCAGCTTGGTGTCGTTCACCCCCGCGTGCAGCAAGACCACGCCGATACTCTCGTCGCCCTTCAGGATTGCGGGTTTCTGCGCAGAAACATCGAGAACACGTGCACCAGGGAAACAGTGAGTGTGCACTTTACCTTCAGCTAACATTGCACAGCTGTGCCGAAAGATGGAGTCTCCGATGATCACAGCGTCGCTTTCGGTTTCGCTGAGTGGAGCGAAGCAGTTCCGGGTGGAGATCTCGAGGTGGCAGAGGGGGAGAGGTCCTTGCCCGGTCCCTGGCTCGCATCTTCTGCTGCTGGTGCACACAGGGTCCGTGGTGTCCCGGCGCCAGAGTGAAGGAGATCTGGGAAGATCGCGTCCTGGGTGCACCGGGCCTGTGCAGAGAAACACACGGAGTGGAGGTGGTGGGAGTGTTAGCAGTGTGCTGTATACTTACCCCGGGCTTGTGAGTGTCAGCCCGGGATGTTTCCAGCGCGGCTTGCCGCTCTCTTAGCTGGGCCTCCTTCTCCACCAGGTCGCGGATCTGCTTCTCCGCGGCCTCCAGCTTAAGCTGCACCGACTGCAGCTCGAACGTGTCCTCACCTGCACTCAAAGGTAGACACACATCCGCCATTAAAGCAAGTAACAGTGAGTAAAACAATGGTAATGTGTGTGAATAGAGTATTAGCAATGTAAGCGAGATTAGCGGTAACCACGCTGGCGATGCTAACGGTCTATAAGCTAATAGCGGACTCGGGAAATCAAAATAAAACTATTTTGTGATAAGGTGCTCTGATTGTTTTTGTTGTAGAATACGATAGGGGATATATTCACACGTTATAAAAACGAAAATTATGTTGTATAAAATTGATTTTAAGATAAAAAAGTAGACAATAATAAATTAACTTGACGGAGCTCAAACTCAAAACACACGGCAGCAGCAAGCAGGATAAGTGTCTTTGTTATCAGACTTTGATTTGTAAAGATGGTCTAGGTTATGGTTCACATATTACAGAAGTAAACTTATATTTTTCATATTGTTATTTATATGCATCTCCAGACACTTTTTTTCGTCACACATTGCGCACGAAAACAATTGAACAAACAAATCTGTGTTTCAAAGGTCTCTTGTTTACCTGTAGCCCTGATGTTTTCCCATCAATCTACCAGCATGTAGGATCCTGGTGTGTATTGGCAGG